TGTTGACGGAGACTCTTACCAACCTCTTGCTACCTTTACTGCTGAGCCGGGCTCAGGTCTCTACACTCTTCACACTGGCCCGCGTGCGCCGCAGCAGCAGCCGCAGCAGCAGCAGCAGCCGCAGCCGCAGCAGGAGCAGCAGCAGCAGCTGCACCAGCTGTCGCACCAGCAGCCGCCCCTACTGCCACTGCCCCCGGTTCCCCCCCCCGTTCGGGTCCCCGCGTCTCACCAGGTTGCTTCGTCCCCCCAGGTGTCTGTGTCGTGTCAGGTTCCTACGTCTGCTCCAGTCGCTGCGTCGTGCTCCTGCCGGTCGCTTGCCCACCCCACCGTTCTGTGGCACCACCGGATGGGGCACCCGTCCCTTCCTCGTCTGCGCGCTATGTCTAGTCAGCGTCTTGTCCTAGGCCTCCCACGTGTCTTGCCGTCGCTGCCGCCTTCGCTTGCGCCGCCGTGTGGTCCCTGCGTCGAGGGTCGGCTGCGCGCCGCCCCTCACTCCTCCTCCCTTCGTCCGGCCACCGAGCCTTTTGAGACGCTTCACTTGGACGTCTGGGGCCCCGCCCCTCGTCTAGGCCCTGAGCGTGAGCGCTACTTTCTGGTGGTCGTTGACGACTTCTCCCGCTACACCACAGTGTTCCCTCTGGCGAAGAAGTCTGAGGTGACTTCTACGCTGATCAGGTGGTTGCTCACCACCGAGGACACTCGTGGTCGTCGTGTCAGCTGCCTCCACTCCGACCGTGGGGGTGAGTTTCGCTCCGGCATTCTCGCTAGATTCTGTCGCGAGCAGGGCATTCGTCAGTCCTGGACGCTTCCAGAGTCCCCACAGTAGAATGGGGTTGCTGAGCGCCGCATAGGCCTGGTCATGGAGATCGCCCGCACCTCCCTGACTCACGCATGTGGCCCCCATTTTCTGTGGCCCTACGCGGTCAGGTACGCCGCGCACCAGCTGAACCTCTGGCCACGTGTCTCTCGACCAGAGGTTTCACCGACCAGTCTTTAGACAGGGTCCCCTGGTGTTGCGTCGCGGTTTCGTGTCTGGGGGTGCTTGGCTCTTGTCCGCAACACCTCCGCGGACAAGCTCTCGCCTCGTGCCGTCCCCTGTGTCTTCCTTGGTTTCCCTGAGGACTCCTCTGACTTCACCTTTTACCACCCTCCCTCTCACCGGTTCTTTGACTCCCGTGACGTCCGTTTCGAGGAGTCCACTCCGTACTACGTCAGGTACCCCAGTCGAGGTCTCCAGGTTCCTCCTCCCCCCCTCTTCCTGACTGCCGCTCCCCCTCCTGTTCCCCCGGTACAGCCTCCCCCCCCTGGTCCAGCCCCGTCGGGTGTGTCCCAGGCTACCCCTCCTCCTTCGGTAGCCTCTCCGGTACAGCCTCCCTCCCCACAGTCCTCCTCGCAGCGTGCCGCAGGTGCTAGCTCTCGAGAGGTTGGTGCTGCGCCTGTTCCTGTACCGGTTTCTGGTTCTGGGGGTGGTGGAGTTGGAGCTGGAGTTGGAGCTGGAGTTGGAGCTGGAGTTGGCACTGGAGTTTCTGGTTCTGGGGGTGCTGGGGTTGGAGCTGGAGTTGGAGCTGGAGTTTCTGGTTCTGGAGTTGGAGCTGACCCGGTGGGTGCAGAGGACTCTTGTCGTCTGGGAGCTGGTGCTGGTCGCGCGGACACTGGGGGTGAGAGTGCGCCTCCTTCGGGTTCTGGTGAGCCTGGGTCTGGAGCTGGTGTTAGTGCTGCCTCTGGGGGTGGTGCGCCTGGTTCTTCGGGGGTGGACTCTGGAGCTACCGCTGCTTCGGACACTACTCCGCCCCCCCACCCCTACCCCACTATGCACCAGGCTCGTGTTCGCCGTGCCCGTGACGAGCAGCTGGCGTTGGAGAGAGAGGAGAGGGAGTTACAGCGGCTGGAGGAGCAGCAGCAGCAGCTGGAGCCGCAGGAGCAGCAGCAGCAGCTGGACCCGCAGGAGCAGCAGTCCCAGCAGCAGCCGCTTCCGCAGCAGCAGCAGTCGCAGCAGCAGCAGCAGCAGCCACTTCCTCCTCCTGTCTCGGGTCTTCGGACCCTTGGTCTCCCCTCCCCTTCTCCTCCCTCCTCCGCCTCTCCTCCGGTCTACGGTCCCACGTTTCCTCCTCCTGACTCCTCCCCCGCTGTTTTCCCCAGTTCTCCGCCTTTGTCCTCACCTCCTCCGTCTCGTTCTTGGGCTACTCGTCGCTCCCCTCGTGCTCGTCCCTCGTCTCCTGTTCCCTTCACTGACCTTCGTACTGCCTTCCTTCTTTCTAGTCCACCTCGTCCGTCTCAGTCTGTGCTTTCGTCTCCTCCTGAGTCGGCCCTCACTGTGTCGCTCCCTACTCCTGTCACTGACTACTACCGCACGTACCGTCCTGTTCTCTCTCGTGTTCTCGCCTCTCTTGTTACTCACCCTCGTGCCTCTGTGTCCTCTGTGTCCGCTCTTACTGCCGCAGTTACTGACTTTGCCTCTACCCGCCGCCTTGACTACGCCACCACGCTTGTGGCTGCTCCTCCTACCAGTCCTCTGGCCGTCGGGGGTGTGTCTGCCCTTGGCTGTGACGCCCTAGAGGACAGGCAGTTTGAGCTAGAGTTCCTGGCGGCCGCTTCCCCTCATCTCTGTGCCATGCTCCTCGCCCCTGAGGGTGACCCCGACGCCCTTGACATTCCGACTCCTCGCACTTACGCTAAGGCTGTGTCAGGGCCTTGGGCCTCTCAGTGGAGAGCTGCCATGGACGCAGAGATGGCCTCCTACAGATCCACAGGCACCTACGTCGATGAGGTTCCCCCCCCTGGGGCGAACGTAGTCGACGGCATGTGGATCTACAGGGTGAAGCGGCCACCGGGATCTCCCCCGGTCTTCAAGGCGCGCTACGTGGCTAGAGGTTTCAGTCAGCGCGAGGGAGTTGACTTCTTTCAGACCTTCGCACCTACCCCGAAGATGACCACTCTTCGGGTGTTACTACACGTAGCAGCACAGAGAGACTACGAGTTACACTCTCTCGACTTCTCCACTGCTTTCCTTCAGGGCAGCCTACACGAGGAGGTCTGGTTGCGTCGTCCCTCGGCCTTCACTGGCACCTTCCCTCCTGGGACCCAGTGGAGGCTGAGGCGACCCGTTTACGGTCTTCGCCAGGCCCCTCGTGAGTGGCACGACACTCTGCGTTCTACCCTCTCTGACCTTGGGTTCCAGCCGTCTTCTGCCGACCCGTCGCTGTTCGTTCGTCGTGGCTCCACACCGTTCTTTGTTCTGGTTTACGTCGACGACCTCGTTTTCGCCACTCCGGACAGGGTTGCTTTGGCAGACGTGAAGTCCGAACTGCAGAAGAGACACACGTGCACTGATCTTGGTGAGCTGCGCCACTACCTTGGCCTGCAGATCACCAGGGACAGAGCCGCTCGCACCATTACACTCTCACAGTCACACATGGTGCAGCAGGTCCTTCAGCGGTTCGGGCTTCAGCACTCCACCGTACAGCGCACACCTCTCGCTGTTGACCACAGACTCACTGGTCCCTTTCCTGACGAGCCGTTTGAGCCTAGTGGTCCCTACGCAGAGCTTGTGGGTTGCCTCATGTACCTGATGACTTGTACTCGCCCGGACCTCGCCTTCCCTCTCAGCATCCTTGCGCGCTTTGTTGCGCCAGGGAGACACCGTCCTGTTCACTGGACGGCAGCTGTGAGGGTGGCGAAGTACCTAGCGACTACATCAGGCGTGGGGCTAGTTCTTGGAGGGCAGCAGTCTGTCGTACTCACTGGTCACTGTGACTCTTCTTACGCTGACGACGCTGAGACTCACAGGTCTACTCAGGGGTACTGTTTCAGTCTGGGTTCTGGAGCTGTTTCCTGGCGTTCCACGCGCTCCTCTTCTGTCTCGACCTCTACAGCTGAGGCTGAGATTTACGCTGGTGCCATGGCGGCACAGGAGTTGCGTTGGTTAACCTTCTTGCTCGCCGACCTTGGTGAGCGGCCGAGCTCTGCACCGGCCTTGTTCACTGACAACAAGGCGTCGATCCTCCTCTGTCGTGAGCCGCGACTGGAGAGCAGAGTGAAGCACATTCACGTCAGGTACTTTCTTCTGCGAGAGTTGCAGAGACGTGGACAGGCTCGCTTCGAGTTTGTGGAGTCCGAGGCCAACACTGCAGACATCTTCACCAAGGCGCTTCCGCCTCGTGACCACCAGAGGTGTTGTGTGCAGTTAGGCCTTGTTGACACAGCTTCTAGTCATGTGTAGGCTTGAGTTTATTGCCTGCTTCGTCTGTACTCTTGCTATATATACTTGTGATCTCTTGGACTGGCCTTGTGGCCACTGTTGCTTGTGCTCAGAGAGTGTGGTGACGTTGTGATCCACCCTGAGGTCTCAGAATGCCTACACCCTAGCAAAAGCGCTGTTCCTCATCTAGAAACTGCTGGTTTTTTCTACGACTCCTCAAATCAAAGGGGACCAAGGTGGCAAGGTATCTGCCCTTGCTGAATGGCATCACCCCCAAAAGCATATTTGGGTATGGTGGCAGGGAATTGTCCATTCTGAACCTGGTAATTATTGGTACTTACAGGGAGCTCTAGGGGGGCACTTATCATTGGTGTTGGGTATTTCTGACCAATTGCTTGTTTCAGACGGATTTTTATTTGAACAAGTGCCGTTTGTTCATTCACTAGGTACCACGGGTCAGGTTTCTTTCTGTAGGGCCGGGAGGCCAAGAACATATAACCAAACCACATCAATTGAGGAGCTGGTAACGCACGTGTTGGAAACAAGGAATTTGTCAGAAATACCGTACAAGTCTTTCCACATAATTTATGTGATTAGCCCCATCCCAACACTAAACACCTACTCCCCAACGTGCAAAACTACAGCTAATTAAGATATAGGATAACTCCCCAAAGGAACGTTTGTTACTCGACGCTCCAAGCAGCCCACATTTGACCAGCAAAAGGCTTTCGTGCAGAGCGAGTCGAGCCCACCGCTAAAGGCCGCAGTGCCAACACCAAATGGTCGACGACCATAAGAATGCCTAAGACGTCTGGAAGATGACGCAACGGCGCTCTTCGGGGAAAGAAGACGAGCCGTCGTTGGGGTTGAGGTTAAACACCTGATTGAACACCTCAATCTCCGCATTCGAAATGGGGATCTTGACGATGAGACCATTGTACTTGCCCTTGTCCTGCGGTTGGATCGTCCGCACTTGCACCACCTGCGACCCACGGAACGACGCGTTTGCAACCACATGATTAGTAAGTCCACAAAAGACGCAGAGAGGCATATGCTGATTGGATATTCTGGTTGCAGCCGACTTACATCCTGAACGACGTAGAACTGGTTGTCGTCGGACATAGAGCCATTGCTACAAGTGTACGTCGCCGTCTGCGAGTTAAGTGCAATCACGTTTACAGCGCTCCCCTTCACCGACGCCTCGACAGCCGGGCTGATCGCCACGTCACCGCCGCTCTCGGGAAGCTTGAACGTTGGAATGGAGTCCTGGAATCCCGTGAAGTAGAAATCGCACGCGGAGGCAGAGCAGTCACCACCGGGCGGCTGCGGGGTGGGGGAGGAACCGCTCGCGGAGGCCTGCGCGGGAACCTGCGGGGGTGTGTTCGTCGAGTCGCTCGTGGTGGAGCCTAGGTTGGGGTCCGAAAGGGTGGTTGCCGGGTCAGTGGTAGCGACGTTGTTGGTGAGGGGATTGGGAGCCGCTGTTGTTGCGTCAGCAGGCGTGCTGGAAACGCCTCCGGTCGCAGTGATCTCGGCCGTTGCCGCCTCTTCGTGCTTCGCTCTCACCGTGGTTGGAACGACGATCTGAGAGCCGCGTGAGAAGGAAAGATGGCATAGGACAGTGACGGATTAAACGATGGATGATAAGAGTAGTCGAGGCGGAACCCCGCAGAAGGTACGGGTAAAAGTAGTGGAACCGCGAGTCGATTTGCTCTCGGAACGCCGCATGAAGCGCAGACACGCACCTTTGCAGAAAGTCCCGGAAGTTTGGGAAAGAGCCTGTTTTGGTCCTCCTGTAGCATCTGCAATCACCAATGTATGAAGGGCGCAAAACGGCAGACGGTTAGCGTCGCGTACGTGAGCACCGGAAGAAGCGTAGGTGCTATAACAGTTTGCATATTTTTTTCTAAAACATAGATGATTGCGACAAGGTACTGACTCGAGATGAGCGGAAGGCGTGGCAAGGCAGTGAAGCAGCCAGCAGCGCCACCGCGACAAACAGAAGAGTCTTCATCGTTGCTGCCATCTCTAGAGAAGCAGCACAAGGATTATACAGCTTTCAGGTGATCAAGTTAGGATGCTTGCTAAATTTTTATGGTAGACGGGCTACAAGTTCGTAGCACTAACTGCGTCCTACTTGCGATAACGTCAAATGTCGAGTTCTGATGGGATAATAAAACTGAGGTGGGAGGCCCGAGTTTCTAGGTGAAAGCCGAGGGGGTTTGCTGCTGAGCTGAGAATATTGAAGTGCGTGAAATTGCATACCCTGATCAGGTTTGCGCCTCGTGTTATGTAGGTCGCAGAAACCACAACCCTTGCCACTGCGATAACCACGAACTAGAGTGCGACGAATCCCAGGCAGAAGAGGGTGGCTCGGCCAGTACGTGAACCCTCGCGTAGTCTTCGCTCGACCGTCGCAACTACCTACAGAATCGCACGCCCTTGCTTGATTTGCATAGCATCATTTGACCAAGCGTGTCGCCGAGCCTGTTCGTGTGGCAGCATTTGCTACGCTCCGGGCAAAGGAGTCGTGGCGCAGAATTGTGTTCGCGATGGGGGCTGAGAACCAAGCTGAGCGCCCTTCCGTGAGGTGATCAAGGCGACACGCGGAATTACTGGGCCCCATTTGCAGCCTCCTTCGGAGGTTCCGCAAGTTCGATGTCTGCAGCCGAGCCTGGGATTGAGGTACGTGAAGTCGAAGCGCAAAGAAGCTGCAAGGTGCTAGCCCAGCTGTACCGAGCCACTCTCGCCGACGACCACGGGCGGTTCGTACCCCTCAAACCATGAAGGGGCGCAACGTGAGGCTTAGTCCTCGAAGCGCCTTTTATTCACGACAATCTCTCCTCATCTCCACTCCGCTGCAGAAGTCTGCAAGTTGTAACAGCACCGAAAACATATTCGTCGCGAGTGCCACTGGATTGGCGCATCTGTAGATAAACGTAACAGACTCGGTGATTTACAATTCTGAAACAATAAGAAGCGTACATCACATGCATGATTAGGAGTAGGCGGCTTCTTATTAAAACCGGAGTCCCTAACAGGCCAAAACTGCCTCAAACTTCCTAAATTTGGTTGGGTGTGACCCAGTAGATACTGACTCAAACTTCGAAACCCTTCAGGAAATTTTTCGCCACACGAAATTACTGGACAAAAGATTTCGCGCCCATCCGAAACTATTTGCGAACGAATTTTTACGTTGCATTCCAGATCTGGTCACCCTCACGAGTTTTTTCATAATTTTCGACCCACAACCACCGATTTTGACAACACCCTGGTTCGCGCGCCAGTCACGTTTCTTGCCCCTAGCAACCTTCCTAACTTAGAAACTCTAGGACCCCGAGTTTTCACATGTACTACTGGTATGCTAGTTAACTCTGCATAAGAACTGCATCTCCAGGAAAAGAGGTTACTTCACTATCAGCATCAACGATGCAGGAATGGATGAACTATGAATGAGTTGGGTACAAGTACTAACCCTAAAGTATTGTACCCCTTGTAGGCTAACCCACTATAGCCTAGAGAAGACACAGACATACAGTTTGACACACCCCCGTAGGCTAAGTGGGAGAGAGCAAACACAATAGACGGTCACACGACCAGTCAAGCAAGAGAACAAGCAAAGCAAAGCTCAAGGTGGATCTCAAGGACACCACACAAACTGAGCACAAGCAAACGACCACAATGCCAGTTCATTTGCAAAGTTACAATAGCAAGGCAGTAGACTGATCACAACCTAGCAAGTGTAAACATCCAGGTATAAAGATATATAGCAGTGTACAACAAGGACAGGTCAACCAACCAGCAGGTGAGGCAGAGTGGGCACAAGCCCAAGAGCAATGCAAAAACGTTGATGATCACCAAACCCAAGGGCCTTGGTAAACACATCAACAGTGTTGGCCCGAGAGGCCACGTAAGCAAGGCGCAGCTGACCACGCTGCTGTAGCTCCCGAGCAAAAAAGTAACGAAGAGCAATGTGCTTCGTTCTGTGTTCCAGTCTCTGCTCACGACACAAGGCAAGCATTGCCTTGTTGTCGACATACACAACTGGAGGAGAATGAGGCCGCTCCCCCAAGTCAGTCAGCAGGTAGGTCAGCCAGCGTAGCTCCTGTGCAGCCATGGCCCCAGCATAGATCTCGGCCTCACAGTTAGAACCAAGCACAGAAGAAGAACGAGTGGACCTCCACGAGACAGAACAAGAGCCAAGACTGAAGGTGTAACCCCGTGGCGAACGCTGAGTTATCTGGTCGTCGGCCCAAGAAGCATCGGAGTATCCTGTGAGTACCACTGAACCCTGTCCTCCAAGCATGAGCCCCATGCACGATGTACCGCACAAGTAACGCAGTACCCCCTTCGCAGCATCCCAGTGCACCTTTCGGTGTCTACCGAGAGCCACGTAGCGAGCCGGGATGCTCAGAGGGTACGCGAGGTCATATCGTGTGCACGTCATCAAGTACACGAGGCAACCCACAAGCTCTGGGCACGGATCACTCGGCTCTACAGACTTGTTCGAAGGTGGAGCTGAGAGCGAGTGATTGCAAGGCAGAGGAGTGGGCTGTGGTGAGGAGAACTGGAAGCCAAAGCGCTGGAGGACCTGGTGCATCATGTGTGACAGAGTCAGGGTGATGGTGCAGCGTGCTCTGTCCCAGGTGATCTGCAAGCCAAGATAGCTCCGCAACTCACCTAGGTCAGTGCACGTGTGTCTCTCCTGCAGCTCCGCCTTCACTACCCCGTCCACCAGAGTGTGGGCAAGGTCTCTGGCTCAGAGATACGGGGCCAGAGGTTGAGCTGATGCGTAGCGTATCGGACCGCAAACGGCCACAGGATGTGGGGAGCAGCCGCATGGATCATGGAGGTACGAGCAACCTCCATGATCAAGCCAATGCGACTCTCACCAATCTCATTTTGTTGAGGAGAGGCCGGAAGTGTGAACGACTGGCGAATGCCCTTGTCTTGACAGACCTTCTCAAGGAGGTCAGAAGAGAACTCACCGCCCCTCAGATTGCAGACGCAGGACTGGAAAGTCCGGACGAAACTGCTCGCGTAGCCGATGACGAGTAGCACGGATCCAGGGATCAAAACACCGCTGACGTCCGCTTTGCGCTGCAAGGGAAGGACAGTGGTGTAGCGTGTGTAGTCGTAAACAACTAGCACGATGTAGCACTCCTGGTCCATTCCACCAACGAGGGCCGAGCCCCAAACGTCCATGTGGAGAGTCTGCAGAGGAGTAGTGATCGGAGGAAACTTGGAGGAGTGAGGAGCAGTGCGCTGCCACCCCTCAATGCAGGAAGGCATGGCGGTGCAGGCGAGCGCGGTAGGGAGGGCAGGGACCTGGGAAGGCTAGAGACAAGGATACGGGAGTGCATGCTGCTGCAAGGGGCCAGGGGCGGCTGCTCTGGGTCTAGGGGCGGCTGCTTTGGGTCCAGGGGCGGCTGCTCTGGGTCCAGGGGCGGCTGCTCGAGGGTCCAGGGGCGGCTGCATCAGGGGTGGCTGCTTCAGGGGCGGCTGCTTCAAAGACCAGGGTCGGCTGCACCAGGGGCGGCTGCACCAGGGGTGGCTACTTCAGGGGCCAGGGGCGGCTGCACAAGGGGCGGCTTCACCAGGGGCGGCTGCTTCAGGGGCCAGGGGCGGCTGCTCTGGGTCCAGGGGCGGCTGCTCGAGGGTCCAGGGGCGGCTGCACCAGGGGCGGCGTAGCTGGTGCAGGGCCGCGCGCGGATCCCACAGGCGCCGTGACTGGCGACGGGGGGCAGTGCGCAGGCCAGGCGGGGCCGCGTCGGCGGCAGGGTGGGGCCGCGACAGCGGCAAGGCGGGGCCGCGTCGGCGGCCGTAGAAAGCAGCGCGAAGGCTGCGAAGCGACGCGCGGGGCAGGAGAAGGCAGCGCGGGGGCTGCGGGGCGGTGCGCGGGCCTGACAAGGCAGCTAGCAGGCTACGCGCTGGGCTGACGAGGCAGCAGGCGGGCTGCTAGCGGGCTGTACGAGGGCCAGTAGAGGCGAGCGCGAGGGCTGCGTGACGCAGGGCAGCATAGGCAAGGGACGGGGTAACTCGGTAACCGGCGGAAAACAGTTGGTGGGCCCTGAAAAACAGTCCTAAATCGGTCCTAGGGACCTATGTTGCTCTTAATACCATGTCGAGAGTAAAGGGAAAAGGTGGATTGCACTATCGAGAAAGTTGGGTACAAGTAACAAAAAAAATATACCCTACATTAGCTACCCCACTAAAGCCTACATTCTATTATGATATAGGCATATAATTTGACATATTCTGCAGTGGGGTACTCTATAGTGAATACAGCCCAAATTAAGGTTTGCTATGTGTTTCCTATCTGCTGCTAGTGCAATCCTTCTTCTGTTGTTCATTCCTACTTGCTATCTTGACACAGCGCTGCTCGGCAGGGCACAGCGCAGCAGTAGCAGCGTGTGCAGCAGCAGTGCGCTAGGCAGCAGGGCGCGCTTTATATATATAAATATAATACATTTTATAATAATAATTATTATTTAGGGTTGCGGGGCGCACTGGCGCGCTGGGCTGCGGGGCGCGCTGGCACGCTTAGCAGCGGGGCACGCTGGCGCGCTGGGCTGCGAGGCGCACTGGCACGCTTAGCAGCGGGGCGCGCTGGCGCACTGGGCTGCGGGGCGCACTGGCGCGCTAGGCTGCGGGGCGCGCTGGCGTGCTTAGCAGTGGGGCGCGCTGGCACTCTGGGCTGCAGGGCGCGCTGGCGCATTTAGGGCTGCGGGGCGAGCTGGACTGCGGGGCTGCTCGCGGGCAGAAAGGGCGCGGAGGGCAGGGGCTGCTCGCGGGCAGAAGG